CGAATCATAGAAGACATCATACCATTTAAACTGGTTTTTGAATTTTAAAAATCGGATAAGGAATAACAGCAATGGCCGTTTTTTATGCAGGTCTCTGTATACTACAGTTTTTTGGTAATATCAGATAATAACCAATTTTTTTTTCAGACAAACGTTCCTTTTAACGATATAATAACAAAATTTGAACTGACAAACCCTTTTTAATTGCTGAGTAGGTACCTATATGAATACTTTGTCATACCAAAATATGTTTTTTTATAATGTGCACATAATAATTTGTTCATTTTTTAGTGTAAGGGTCAGTTTTTTATCCCTATTATTTATAAATATATTTTATACATTGTTTTGTTCATTTGTTCCCATGGAGTTTCAAATAAAATTTATTTTCTCTCATTTTTTTTTATTTAACCTGGCTATAACCCCTACAACCACTTTAATTTAATCAATTGCTGAGTAATTGTAACACTTTTTAAAGTTGAAAGAACATCATTTTGAGTAAATTTAACTAAAAATTTATTTATATTTAATTAGGTTTTAAATCAAAATATATTAAAATTTTACTCAAATTTGACTAGAATTCACTCAAAAGTTGATTAAAATTTACTAAAAATGTTTAAGACTTTAGTATATTTAATTAGGATTTAAATCAAAATGTATTACAATTTTACTCAAATATGACTAGAATTTACTCAAAATTTGTAGGACTTTAGTACGTAATTTGATAAACATATTCACTCAAAAAGGAAATAGTTTACTAAAACACACTGAGTTAAAAAAATTAATCAATTTGGTGTGGACCTAGATTAAATACATTTTGATTTAATTTTGAGTAAAATTTTACTCAAAATTTTTTACTGTGTATCCGCATTATTTGTAATATGTTTTAATATTAAAATTATCAATTGTTCAAGTAGGTCCTTCATAAAAAAAGCATTAAAACATAATTTATTATATTTTTATACAGTGCCCTCTTACAAGTCCTTTTGAACAAAAAAATACATTCAGGTCTAATCCGTTATTTTATCATCAATTGATTTCAGTTCGTGATGTAGACCTTCAATTTTAAATAACGCCACAAAAAATCAAGTGGCGTTAAATTAGGTAACCGAGCCGGCCATTTGGTAGGACCACGCCTACCAATATTATGTATTTGAATTAGTCTCATTTGCCACTTTCTAACATTCCTAAAATAATGTCCAAATTCGTCAGGATTACCTTAAACTATATCTTGAACCGTTGGTTAAATTTGTGTTTGCACTTCCAAAAAGATGGGTCCTACAATTTGATTTTCCAGTCGGGCGATACATTGACTTTTGACCTTTACGATTTACAGTGCCATTTAGGAAAAAATGCATTCATAACTAAACTAAATACTCCAGGAAACAAAGATTGTAAAAGGAAAACTCGATGGTAGTCGGGTTTTATTCTTTTTTATGTAGAGTCAGGGGTGCTGATAATTATCATTATTAATAAATCAAGAATATTCTTCAAAAATTTCTTTTTCTACTCCTATTACGAAATATGACCGTTCTAATATAACTTTTATCTATGGAATAACATTTCAAAATCACTTTTTCTTACTACCTCGACTCAAAATACGTTGTTTCGTCCCCGATTTCACGGCAGAAAGTTTACGTTTCTTGCATTGGTCAAGCTATACGCGCACACTCTAATAGCGGGAGTAAAAATTTTTTAGTCGTGTGCTTAACATTCAAATTTCGTACTGCCAACATGAGAAACACAAAAATATGACAGTTTTAAACCATAATTTTGCAATTATAACAACAAATAAACAATTTATGTTTTTACTTTTTTACTTTTTATGTTGTTTTAAGTGTTTAATGGTACTTTTATTTGTTATAAAGTAGTAATTTGTTAATTAAAATACAACTTTTTTTTTTTCTGTATTGGCACCGCTGAATTACCATGACAACGCTACAGTTTGATTGATTTTGAATGTAAACGTCAGAATTAAATTAAACGTCAGATTTTAATTTTGACACAAGTTTTTTTATATACATTTAATTTTTTCCCGTATTTTCTGCGGGGGTAGCAAGAAAAATAGTATACACTACACGGGCAGAAAGTGTGAGAGCCCTGAACTGCGCGCCATGATGCCCTCGGCTTCGCCTCGGGCATCATGGCGCGCAGTGCAGGAATCTCACACTTTCTGCCCTTGTAGTGTAATATACTATTTTCTTTTTTTCATTATAGCCTAATTTTAAAAGTAATCGATCCCTTATTTAGTACATAATCAAAAGGATAGAGGTCAAATTCTGAAAAAATGCACGGTTAGCGAGTTATGAGCCAAAAAGCAAAAAAAATCCCCTTTCGGGGGATGAAATTAGGGGACGCGGAAAGAAATTTTTGGGGAATATTCTTAATTCATTATCGGCACCCCTGACTCTACATAAAAAAAATAAAACCCGACTATCATCGAGTTTTTCTTCTACAATCTTTGTTTCCTGGACTAAAATTGTACAGGAGATTTTGTATTATATATATATTATGCGCTAACATATAACTACACCAAATTGTACTCTGCGATTCGTGTCATATTTAGTAAGTTTATGTAATATTTTTAATTTATAGTAATAAAATTTGTTATATTTGTTTGTTATTTTCTAACAGTTAATTTTGCTACATCACAATCCCCTGCAAGTGCCGCCGTCGATTGTTGTGGATTATTGACGACGGAACCGACTATTTCTATTTGTTTGTCTTCTGAGATTGATTTTAAAAATTTAATAAATAGAAATACCTTTTAAATGAGGTATTACAATCCCCCACTTTCCATTTGAAATTTTAAGTTAAAACTGCCCTCTTGGCACTATACTGCCCTACTATGGAGAAAGGCAGTAACTGCAAAAAAATGCAAGATGCGTTTTCTTGTGCTATGGTAAAGCTATGGACATTTTGTAACCGAATTCAGCACACAAATGCAGTCAAATATCTTAAAAGTTAAAAAAATTAATTAAATACCTACTGCTTTTTATAAAAATGTAGTTTATGCTAATTTTCCACAAATTTCTTGTTTAGCAGTTACTGCCTTTCTCCATAGTAGGGCACTAGTATAGGCACCTATCAATTTGTCGTCAAAAAGTATACCTAATATCCTTGGCAATGGTATTGTCTGATGCCGATGCCAGGTTTCTTATAAACATATTTATAGTATATTATGTATCATATTATGTATTGCGAGCGAGTGTTTGATAAAAACGAGTGTCTAGAGAAGCTTATAAAACGAGTTGCATTATATACTTTATCTAAGACGAACGCAAAGGAGAATTTAAAGCCAATTTTATTTGTTAAACATTTGACATTTGTTGTTAACTTCAGTCCGTGACTAAAACGCCAGTCACAGCTTATCGATGGGGGAGTAGATAATAGTATATTATGCATTAAGTATTTTATATACGAATTTAATTTAGGCACGAGCGATCTTGCGAGCGAGTGCTTAAATTAATGAGTGTATAGAAAAGTTTACAAACGAGGTGCATACTATACTTTTTCTACGAGAAATACTTATTATTATCTTAAAATTATTTAAATAAAAAATTTGTATAGAGCGCCATCTATGAAACAATAGAGGAATCCGTGTGTCACCGTCAAATGTCACATTTTTTTATTTTATAAACACAATTATAAAGGTTATAAATCGAAATGTATTTCTTAAAAATTGACAGTTTTTCACAGTTAAAGTAAAGAAAATGTTTTATGAGGACTTTACAGTGGAGTCCGTGCCCGAATTTAAGTTATAGCTTACTGCCGGCGAAATTAAAAGGTCAGTACAATGTTCATATAAACTTTTCAAATATTGGCGTTGAGAAACCATTTAATACTTTTGTATTTTTGTATTGAGATAATAAAAAATTTTCACATTTAGTATTATTTTACAAGAAAGGCACTTTATTTTAACGATTGTATGACATTTGAAAATTGTCACCTAACTTAAAACCAACTTCAGCCTGTGACTAAAAACCTGTTGCTAAATTCAGCCCGCGACTAAAGTGGCATAAAGCCACAACTTGTCAATGTGTATTTAAAAGGTCACTTAGTGTCATGGAAACATGTACGATAAAGGGCGTTTTAAAGGTGGGAGTGGAAAAAATTATTAATATTACTCCCGGTGCATTCGCCATTTTTGCAACTAAACCTTGGTAATTAAATTGGTTTTAAGTTTAAACCTTTTAAAAATATTATATAATTAAAAAAAAAATTAAAATAATTTTAAATAAAAACATTATACCAATGTATCATAAAATAGCACACCAACTCACATAACCTTTTGGAAAATGCCATGAAACAGTATTTTTTGAGTTAGATAGTTATTTTTCTTTCTTATTACTAAACATTCTTCTTCGTAGCTTAACCAGAGTTTCTCATATTGTATTTTTTATTTATTTTATTAATATTTATGCGTCATGGGTATACATTATTTGTTCCCTTAAATTAAAAAGGGTTTATCAAACTGTCCTAACCTTTCTGTTTCTATAAAATTGTTTACTTACATTTTTATTTATTACAGCAATATAAATTGGATTGTAAATATTTGCCGTGAAAACTTGTGATTAATGGCTTGAAGGTTTTTTAATTAAAACTAAATAAACTTTCTTAAGCGAAATTGTTTGCCATTGCTTTCGTTCTATGCGTACAGATTATCAATTTACTCCGAAATTTCTAAATTAAAAAAATGGTTTTATAAAATGTATTTTTAAAGAATAATAAGGTTTTATTATGAGAGGATTTATATTTAATTAGTTTTTAAGTTTATTGGAATTTACTGGGTAATTGAAAATTCTTTTTATTTTAGAAATTTATTTGTTACTGGTTAACTTATTAAATATTTTGTACACAAATTCCATTTTAATGCTAAAATTATATTAAACAATTTTAGGCTGATAAAATATTTGCTTGTAATTTACATTTATTAGCTAATTAGTTAAGAAAACAAAAATCTAAATTATGTATAATAACTAATTGTTTGCGTTTTGTTTCAGTTAGTAGCGCAGTAAGTGATTCCCACAACGTGATTTTAAACTTTATAATGGCACTATTTATAAACTACGTCTTTTTTATAGGTAAGTTTTCAGTGTTAAATAGTTTTAAGATTTGTTTAATTTTATTTTATTTTTTATTTTAGGTTAAACACTTTAAAGCGTAATCTTCAAATGGCCAAAATTTATGTAAAATATTTTCTATAAATGTGTAAATTTAAAAGAATGTTGCTATAATTATTCCCCTAAATAAAATTCTGTACATTTTTTAAACCTGAGCATTATTTAAAACCTTAACTATTCGCTAATAAATTAAGCAATATAGTGTGCAATATATTGTGCACTTAAGTAAAATAGTCACTATTTGTATTTTACTATGCACACGAATTTAAATATAGTGCTTATTTTATTGCTTAACACGTTGTAATGTCAAAAATATGCAATAAAAGTAGAAAAAACAATTTTCTAAAATTTATTGATATTAGACAAATTTATTAATTTTAAAAGCAATAAACTGGATTTTTTCTATATATATTAGGGTGCTTCAAAAAATAAAATAAATTTTTTTTTTCGCTCTTACCCTCTCCAATGTTTCTATTTAATATAAAAAAAATCCTCACCAAATTTGGCGTACCAGCTCAACTCTAAGAGTTTGCTGTTTTTATTTTAGTTTCCCATTTAATTAACATGGGAAAAAATAATTTTATGTTTGGAATTTTATACCTTTGTATCATAGTAACTTATGGCAATGATCATTGCAGTTTTTTATATAAATTGTAACGCTCTACAAAAAAGGTTTCTTATTATTTTTCGATAAATTGATTTCTTCTAGAGTTATTCGAGGTCAAAGTTTGATTAACATCAAATTCTATGTTTTTTTTAAATTTTATGGTACAATTATCAGACGGGAGGTGAAAGGGGGCAAAACAAGGCAGCGGGAGGGGGGCAAAATGGGGTACCCAAAAAATGAGCATATGAAGAGTTTTTCAAAATTGTACCATTCTTTTTCTCGCTCTACAGCCCCAGAATAATTATTTTCAATTGAAAGCGTGAACTTGTGAGTCAATATATTTGCAAATAATTTAAAAACCGAAAAAAACAATGTAAAAAAAAATTTTTTAAGAAATTTTTTGGGTACCCCATTTTGCCACCCCACTGCCTTGTTTTGCCCCCTTTCACCTCCCGTCTGCTAATTGTACCAAAAGTTAAAAAAAAAACAGAAAATTTTATGTTAATCAAACTTTGACTTCGAATAAATCTAGAAAAAATCAATTTACCGAAAAATAATAAGAGAGCGTTACATTTTATATAAGAAACTGCAATGATCATTGCCATAAGTTACTTTGATACAGAGGTAGAAAATTCCAAACATAAAATTATTTTTTCCCATGTTAATGAAATGGGAAACTAAAATAAAAACAGCGACCTCTTAGAGTTGAGCTGGAACGCCCATATTTGGTGAGGATTTTTTTTATATTAAATAGAAACATTTGAGCGGGTAAAAGCGAAAAAAAAAATTAAATTTTACTTTTTGAAGCACCCTAATATATATATATATATATATATATATATATATATTAGTTTATAATTTTTTGCAATATAACTTGAATTATTTGTTAGGTTTAGATTGATCTGACAGAAGTTAAATTTTTTAATCTTTTGAGGAGATCTGCAAATACCACCCCCCCTACTAAACAATCCGTTAACTCACTCCCATAATCCCTCATTTTGGAAGGTTTTATGAGAGATAATTAATATAGAAATAAACGGGAGCCTTCCAGATCCTGCACCTGAGTTCAAACGTGATTTATTGTCTTTTATTTACTGTATTTGGTAATTCCCCTTTAATACTTTCCCCATGAATACAACACCTCAAAAGTACTTCGGGTTACTAAATAATTGAGCTTTATTACCGTAAGTATTTATTTTTTATTTGTCGTAATTTAATATAACATTTGCCGTGGTGTTATTTTTCATTTATTACTGGGGTTGTAACGTTTACAGAATATTTGCTGTAATGATGCCCCAGCCTACATATTCGCCAGACATGGGTCTGTCTGACTTTTTCCTATTCCTCAAAATAAAGAGAACCTTAAAGGGCCGTCGCACGGTGGGATGACCTTCACCAAAAGTCGTAATTTGGAGTATCGAAAAATCATATTTATGAAAAATGGAATGTATAGAAAAAACATTGATCTTTCAGATTCCCGAATTACAAATCAAAATAAAATTTACTTTAGAAGATACAGACCGTCAAAGTTTAACATTTTTTTTTACTGTTTTAGTAAAAATAATGTTGGTGTTTGAAGCAGTATATCTCAAAAAATAATAAAGGTACAATATTAATTCAAATGCTGTTTTAAAGAGGAAAGTATGTTTTATATTGGGTACAAATTTGGTACCATATAAATGTTTAATAATCACAGAATTTTTATTAGAATAAAATGCAAAAATTTGGTAATTTTTTCCAATTTCACGGGACAAAAGCCAAATCCGCCATTTTTCGCCATGGCCGATTAATTTCTTTTTTATATGAAAAGGTGTATAAATATGTTGCCAAGTTATACTGTTGCCACTTTTTGCCCATTTTCATAACTTTTCAAGATATTTCACTTTTACTGAACAAACGCGTAAGAAATTTGGTGTATATATAGGTATACATGTACGTTGCGGCTGCGACCGTCAAACGCGTCTATGCCATTCATGCATTCGCCGAACTGAGTTTGGAATGTGTTGTTTTATTTTAAAATATTGTTAATAACACTATTGTTAAATTAGAAAATAAATACAGTTAACTTTTATTTTACCTTTGTTTAAGGGCCGGTATATTAAATTTACTTAAATATACCGGCCCTAATTCAGATCGAGAGTTAATTTATATTTTACCTGGTTTAATATGAATTAATTAGAATAAGAAGTAGTATTTACTACTAGAGTAAATTACTAGAGATCCTTAATAAAACAGAGATGGGACACGACTGTCAATGTCACGGTTCCGATATATATTTCCCTCTGCGTTTTTTAGGACACTTGGCCAAAAAAACAGAAAAGGACGTCTTCTATCCTTTTTTAATTTGTTAACAATTTATTTTTTTGATAGGTAGTTTTAATTTTACAGGATATATTTTTTGACAAATTTTATCATAGGCGTATTTTAAACAACATTATGGTTATTATAATTTTTAGGAAAATACTTATAATAAGGAGTAATTAAACTTCATATATATTCTGGAACCTTATAAGTACAATATTTTACAGTTTTTACTACCTTTATATTACCTGCCACCTAGGTGGCACCTGTCACAGGTGCACCTGTGACTACTATATAAACTTCAAATTAGAAATATTATTTATATCAAGTGCGCAGAGGAGGCACAGGAAGCTCGAAATAAAGACTACAAGTCGATAAGGGAAAGTAACACAAGAAAAATTTCCAGAAAGGCCACTAATAAGGACCTTATTAATTTATTATTGGCAACATCAGATCCAGCCATATCTGCCTAAAGGGTTTTAATGTTAAGAAAAATAATTCTATAGTATTCTATAAAGTATACTTTAGATGCAGATGTTTTAAAATTATTAATATAAAAATTTACAAAATATAAATTTTATTCTTATTTAATCATTGTTTAATAAATAATTATAATAATATATGTTATCGTTTAAGCTTAATTATAACATATATTGACATTTAAACCAAAAACAACATTAATGTTTAATATTATTTATATTATTATTATAAATTCCGTTATAAAATCTACGCCACTGGTCTAAATTTAGAATCGTGCATAAATTTTATGGTTTATATGCATATGATCATGTGGCCAAAATTTTATGAAAAAATATTTACCCGTTTAGTCACAAATGATTTTGAAAGAACGAGATAGGGCTTATCCCACCGACGCGTCGTTTTGCAAGCATAAATGACATTAAAAGCACATCGCTGAAAGAACTAAAGACTATCCCAAAGATCGAGTTTATAGAATTAGAAGAAGCGCTGGCACAAGTACATAATATCTAATGGGGACTATTTTCAAGGCGACAACTTTAATGTAGACGAATAAATAAATACTTTTTTCAAAAAACGAAAATTCCCGTTATTTTCTGAACAGACCTCGTACACTATACACCGTATTATATCTAGGCAAAGTATAAATGAAAATATTAATATTATAATATCATTATTATTAATAACAAAAAAGTTATGGCCTATTTTTGATTGACGCGCATTTGTCAATTTTTAACGAAAAAAATTAATAACTCAAAAACTATTCACTTTAGGTATAGGATATGGTATAGTAATTTTACTCAGAATTTTATTTAGAATTTAAAAATATATAGGGTGTTTCATTTGAAATATCAAAGTTGATGTCACTTCCTGTTAAACCGGATGTTTGCGCCACATTTTAAATTAAAATTACTTGCGCCATCTACCTCAAAGAAACTAAAACAGACAAGTGTGTGGGGAAGGGATGAGCGGGAGAAAAGGGGCGGCAATTGGTAACAAAGCGCTTGAAATGTAAGCACGATGCTTTTGTCAATTAATCAGTTGTAAAGACGATATTTTCAATATACAGTTTAAGTTAAAAACTAATTATTTCAAAACCCAAAAGTACCGAACCAGTGATGCAGAGTTTGCAGTAACAATCATGGTCCTTCGAACCGGATATTCGTGGAATAAAGAGGAGAATGCCGAGTAAGACCTTTCCAATTTGTTCCTTTTATTGTTTTGATTTTTTTATATTTCTTTGTTCGGAATCGGTGCTTTTTGCGATTTCAAGCCAAATTCGTTGGCAAAAATAATAATTATACCATTTATAATTATTGCGTCAGATTTAACGCCAAATTTGTTGGCAAACATTTACCTATTTCGATTAAGCTTGTTGGTGGCAACAATACGTTTTAGCAATCCATACCTACGATGGAATTAAACAATTTAAAAAGTAAAAAGACTTTACTCAAGTCTCAATTAACGCGTTTTAAGAATTTTGTCGAAAAGTTCGATATCGAAAATAATTCAATCGAAGATTTACAAGTTAGGCTTTCCAAGGTTGAACCGATCTTGGAGGAGGGAAATTCGTTGCAATTGTCTATTGCAAGCGTTAGGGGCACGGAGTTGTCTAGCGACGATGTCTCAGAAATTGAAGAGTTCGAGGATAGGTATTTTTCGTGCGTCGGTCAAGCGACAAAAATAATAAGTGCACATATGAAGGCCGGCGGTAGCGACTCTCACTTAAGCGCGGGGAGTCTACCAGAACAG